CTGGTTGGGGCGCTTTTTGTAATAACAGGGCTACACACGGGTTCTGGAATTTCAGTGAGAATCTCAAACATATTAACTATTTAGAGGTTCTAGCGGCTTTTAACGCACTTCGTTCTTTTGCGTCGGGTTTTAGTAATTGCTCCATACTGCTTCGAATCGATAACACTACTGCCATATCTTGTATTAATCGGATGGGCAGTGTTAGATATAAACACCTTAATGCTATCACACGACAGATATGGCAGTGGTGTGAAATTAGGGAAATTTTTCTAGTGGCCTCATATATCAACACAAAAGAAAATTCTCATGCAGACAAAGAGTCTCGTTCAACATCTATTGACACTGAATATGAGTTGTCAGATTCCGTTTTTCAAGTGATATGTCATAAGTTTGGAGTACCAACAATTGATTTGTTTGCGACACAACTGAATGCAAAGTGTACGAATTATATCTCTTGGAAACCAGATCCTGGGTCTCTAACAATTGATGCTTTTTTAGTATCATGGAAGCATGAATTCTTTTATGCTTTTCCTCCATTTAATCTTATTTCAAAATGTATCCAGAAAATTATTGCTGAAGAGTCCCGTGGAATTTTAGTAGTTCCAAGTTGGGGAGCTCAACCGTGGTATTCACTTTTTAGGAAACTCCTAATTTTTGAACCAATGATTTTTTCACCAGCTAAGACTCTTCTTTCTTCACCTTTCAGGACTCCACATCCCCTGTGGCGAACACTTTCCCTGGAGGTTGGACTTGTATCAGGGAAGCTTTTCTCAGAAGGGGAGTTCCAGTAGCAGGCCTACAGGCAATTAAGATGTCCATTAGTTCGGCCACGTTAAAACAATACTCATCCTCCTTACGGCAGTGGTGGATTTTTTGTATTGCTAATAGTCATGATCCTTTTCATTTTTCTTTGGATATGGTCATTTCATTTTTAAGTACACAGTTTAATCTGGGTGCTTCTTACTCAACTATAAATTCTAAGTATGCTGCCTTAGCATTAATTTTTTCAATCAATGCTGGGGACAAGGCTATACTAAAACGTTTTTTGAAAGGCATTTACAACCAGAAACCTTCAAGACCAAGATATCAGTCCACCTGGGATCCACAACCTGTCTTAACATATTTATCTGCTTGGTACCCTTTATCTACCCTTTCTCTTTCACAATTAACAATGAAACTGGTTACCTTGTTAGCGCTAATTACAGGTCATAGATTGCAGACTTTTTCTAAAATAAGGTTACAAAATATTGTTCGTTTTGAGAATCGGATTGAAATTAAAATCACAGATACAATAAAGACCTCCTCTGTAAAAAATTTTCAGCCTGTGCTGATAATTCCATACTTTAAAGAAAATCCTAAACTTTGTTTAGCCTCGATTATTGATTGTTATGAGAATCGGACTAAGGCCATACGTCCAGTAGATACAGATATTTTAATTTTGACATATTCAAAACCTTTCCACCCCGTTTCCACTCAAAGGTTAAGTAAATGGATCAGGTTAACTCTTGCGGCAAGTGGCATTGACACAACTCAATTCTCAGCCTACAGTACCCGCCATGCTGCTACTTCCGCGGCTCATAGAGCCGGAGTTTCAATTGATATGATTAGAAAAACAGCAGGATGGACTAAAAATTCAGATATGTTTAGAAAATTTTATAATAGACCTCTTTGTGTAGATCCTGCCACTTTTGCTAGAGGGGTTTTAAGTTCAATAGGATAAGTCATAACACTGTACGGATGTCTCGTGCTTATCATTATTTTTTTGTATAATTTGTTTTTTGTTTATTCTTTTTGTTCTGTTGGAATAAATACTTAACTTATAAGAAGTCTAGATCGTTTTTTACTTTAAACATCTACGTGTGTTAGACTATGTAATTCTGAAGAGCGGCAACACGAAATATAATAAAATGATCAATTGACTTACCTTAAGGAAAATTGATCCATATTATATGAGTGTTGCCGCTCGAAGAATTACATCCCCCCCAATGTCCCTCCCTAGTTTTTTCCTCTCTAGACTTCTTCCTTGCTTTCCCTAAATTGCAATGAGATGGCAGGCCGGTCGGATGGACGAGTGAGGCTAGAGGCGAGGAAGGCTGGGGGAATCAAGGTCATGCTTTAAATTTCGTGGGCTGGAGCTTGGAAAAATTGCGACTACGTGTGTTAGACTATGTAATTCTTCGAGCGGCAACACTCATATAATATGGATCAATTTTCCTTAAGGTAAGTCAATTGATCATTTTATTAAACTATATTGCTTTTATTTCTGCCTAAGAAAAGATGACTAGTTTTAAATTCAAAGAAATTAAATTCTGGAAATGTTGTAGTGGAACGATAAGGGAACTGTCTAGTAGTGTAGTTTCATTTTATCAGAAACAAACCGCCATTCCTAGGTAAAAAATAATCTAATGCTAATAATATTAATAAAAAAATAATAAAAATGGGACATAAATAAAAAAATATTAAGAAAATATAATAACAATATTAATAATAAAAATGAAAATCTATACTAATATATAAAATCCTTAAGTGACTGACATACTGATTAATCACGATTCTGCTCAAACCACTCAACGTAAGAAGCTCAATTTTGGCATACAGGTTGATTCTAGGGTGTAGAGGTTCGATAAGAAGGCATTTTTCGAAATTCCAGTTCCAAGAGGGTGAAACCACCCCTCAAATGTTACAATATTTTTTAACGCTTAAACACGTATATTTTATTTTGTTTTTTTACATATTTTAAGATTTTTTAAAAATGTATACAGGGTGTTTCGAAAAATCTGGTCATTGATTAATCACGATCCTGCTTAAAGCGCTTGACGTAAAAAGCTGATTTTTGGAAAACAGATTGACTGTGGGGTGTAGAGGTTCAATAAGGAGGGGTTTCTCGAATCTCAAATTCCAAGAGCCTTCAAAACGCCCCTCAAATATTACAATATTTGTTATTTAAAAAACGGTTAGTCTTTCGGGAAAACGCTTGGACAAGCATTATTTATTTAGTTTTTCTACATATTTTAAAATTTTTAAAAAAATCATACAGGGTGTTCCAAAAGTTGGGTAATTTCTTAACCACGATTCTGCTTAAACTGCTAGACATAAAAAGCTTATTTTTGGCAAACGGCTTTTTCGAAAGTCAAATTCCAACGAGATGAAACTACCCCTCAAATATTACCAAGTTATATAATAATATCGCCATATTGTTTTTTCTCATGCTGACATGAATGTGAGAACATTTTATCCAGTTTGTATGTTAATGGAAATTCTTGCTTTGCTTTATCATCACCATTAGAAATGATTAATTCGACGCGAACGAAGTCGCTGGTACACGCTAGTAAAAACATATTTTTCTCTTTATTCCAGCACGAGTAATCCTTGGAGTAACCACATACAGAATTATTCCATATGGACCTGGATCACTTTTCCATTGAACCAAGCGAATACGAGTTTTATTTTATCTAACAAATCTGCTACAAATTATTTTTATTTGTTTTGTCTGTTAATCAGTTAATGTCTATACATATAACTATTGATAAAAACTTCTTACGATTCGCTACATTTTATTATTTCTTTTCCTTTAGTCTTTAAAGTTTCAAAATCATTTATCTCAAAAGTAAGGAAATGTGACTTAGATCGTTTTTCCCCTGTAGTCTTCATATGTTATCTGTGGTAGAAGTTTGTTCACCTAATTTTAATGTAAGGATTCAGAACGTCATAATTAGTGGTAGTAATTTTCAATTAGTGGAAAAAGTTAACCAACTTTTGACTTTTCCACTAATTATACTTCAAAATTTGCGAGGAATGTCATTTTGGCCTTTGACTATCACCCGTCAAAAAAATTTTTGGTTAGAAATCAAAACTTTATTGTTTTATAAGCTAAATATTTTTGCTTTCTCTATGGATACAACAGACTACCGCAAGCTGTTGCTAGGATATTTTATCAATTTTAATTCTGTTTTTTACACATTGTGACAATGATCGTAAACTAAAAAGTATAAAGAAGTGTAATTGAAACCACTAATTTATTCCACTAATTACGAGGTTCTGAATGAAGCTTAATTGAAAATGTCTACCACTAATTTGGACGTTCCGAATGCTTCCATTGAAATTAAAGCAACAAACTTCTACGCTAATTGAAACCACTAATTAATTCCACTAATTGCGAGCTTAATACCTACTAAATAATGAGAAATCCTTATTCATATCTACTGAAATAGACTATATCACTTGGCGTGTGAATTTTCTATTAAAATCCATGGTATCTACAATGTACACGCCTCTGCTTCAACTTTTATTACTCTGTTCTTATGGTACTCTTCGTACTTAGTTCTTTCTACATGTCCTTTCGCAACTTGTTTAATTATCTACCTAATAAAACGGATTGTGATTTTTTCGCAAGCCAGCACTTGGGCTTTCCACCAGTATATTTAACAACGTTATTTATTTTAGCATAATTTTCTCTTTTCTTAATTAGACAATTTTATCTTAGACCAATATAATTTTAGATATTTTTATGACGTAGATATATTGAAGCTTCAAGGTTTCTTGTATTGTTAAAACAAAGAATGTCAAAAAGAAGAGAATGAAGAGAGAAAAATACCGTATAATCGAAAAAATACGGCATCAAAGATGGCTGGGGAATGGCAACCTATGACAATTTTGGCGAGGTCGGTCTCTCGTCAGTTACCAAAAATTGACATAAAACTTGTCAAAAATTAACACATTCTTCAAAAATGATATTTTCTCGGATTCTTACTTACTTACTGGTATTGTAACTTTCTTAACTGCTGCAAAAAACTCATCGCAACCTTATTAGAATATTTTGAACTGGAACGCGGTAGTAATGGCCCTTTATGTCCCTTAAGTGCTGTTAAGGAGTTAAGGAAATTTTAAAACATTTGTCTCAACTGTCTTTTCTGCAACAATACCAATAATATATTTTTTATAAACAGTTTATTATAAAAGTAACAATAATTATAAATTAAAATATAAATAATTTTGCGTTTGTTATTAAATATTTTTGCAAAATCTAAAACTAAATAGGCTTAGGTATACTTAATGCCCCTATATGTTGTAAAATTAAATATTCCTGATATGACATAGGGTGTAGGGTATACAATAAAAATATTATATTACATAATATAAAACAAAATATATAAATAATAACAAATATATATAACAAGAGGCTCTAATGCCAGGAAAACAATACATGACATATTACTAAATAGATATTAACCACTGTTATGCTGCAGAAGGTCACTGGAAGTCCAACTCTAAAAAAAGATTTGACGATTTAAAAATTGTTGGATGGGTTTGTTTCGTTTTTAAGAAAATTTTATCTTTTTTATGGTTACATACAGAACACATAGTGGAAGCAAAAGTACGTCTGGCTTGTTCTTCGCCAAAATCTCAGTGTTTTGGGTTAAGTTAAATTACCTGACTTACCTTAAAAATCCCAAGAACGAAAACTTGTATCCGTGCTGTTCCGCGACTCCAGCACAAATAATATTTGAAGAAGATCCGATTAATGAACCATTTCCTAAAAAATATATACAAAACATTACTAGCAAAAATATTAAATTCAATTGTAAAGTAGCAGCATGGTAAAAGGGATCTTAGAAACAATAAACTATTGCAGATAATGGTGAAAGCCGCTTTATAGCTACATTAGATTTTAACGTTATAACTAGGCTGAATTTATAGTTTAATAAACTACTTTATTTGCTATATAAGATCGTGATAAATGTAGGAATGTTTAGGATTTCTTTTCTATATCTGGGTGACGCAGATAAAGTTTAATTTTATTATTATTTGTTTTACTTAACAATATTCTAGAATAGATACAATTTCACCTTTTTGATAAGTTCTATGATAACCAAGATACGAAGGGATTCGAAAAGTGCAAAATTTTAAAGAATTTTGAAGTCCTCCCTGTATTTCATGAACTAAGAACTGGCGTTCTAGTTGCAAAACCGTTAAGCTGCGTCCTCACTGTCGATCGACCCTGTCTATCGACGCTGTCGATTTGGTGTGTACGTGGCAATCGACGGTGTCGATCGACATGTCGATTTGTTTTCCATCGTCCGTCGGTAAACATCAAAGAACAGTCGATCGACATTAGTGTGTGGACCTGTTTTCGACGTTCGACATTCGACAAACTGTTATACACAGTGACGCACACTGGGGTATTTGACACAGATAGTTGATCGAAATTTTTTTTATGTAGACCTTATATAAATTATTGCTAATTAAAGAGGAAATAATATGAACAAAATAAAGGATAATTCGTCGATTCTAAAAAAGAAGAAAGAAAAATCACTGTTCCAGTGTTTCCACGGTCAATGCCACTAATGCCAGTAGTAATATCGCAACTAATACTACTAATGCTGCGACTGATCCGCAAGCAATGCCCGTACCACTAAAGTCGCTACTAATGCCAAAATTGTGCTATACTGCTAATGGCACTAATGCGATCGCTTTGTACACAACAATGCCATCGCGGTTTACACCTCGCATTAGTATATCACTGATTGGTAAATTAGAGGAAACCAAGAATGTTTTTCTCATTTTATCAGCAAAGTCGCAAAAAGTCGCAGTATTTTATTTTACTGTATGAAAGCCCAATGTTTACTAAGTAAAACGTATATAGACAATATGCTGAATTCTTCGAAATGCGCAACTAAATCTCTAAGTATAATAAAAATGTCACAAATTTAATCAAATTTTCTGAACGCCTAACTTTTAGTTGGAAAAAAATCGTTAGTATAGAGAATATCAAAATAAATAATACGTTTTTGTAGAATACATACCTGCAGCTTGCTGAGCCATTTTCAATCAAAACAATAATATAAACGTAAAAAGGGCACAAGAATAACAACAATTTATAATTTTAAACATAAAATTTAGCCATTTACCTCTTATCTGTGAGAAGTAACAACTTTGACGTTTCGTTGAAACAAATGAATGCAACTAAACACACCCATAGCAACGCCATTCATGGCAGACAGGATTTAACTTTTCATTTATCTTTTTTTGGGAAATCTTAAACACATTTGCTTTTTCGAAATTCGATCACCTTTTTCATGCTAATACCCCACCGTGCAGCGCTGGTTGCCGGTAAGCAGAAACCTGCCTCAACTATGTTTGTACCCTAAGTAAGTAAGAACTAAGAAAGCTAGGACAAATCTCTATCTAGCATCTTTATTTTTTTTATATAGAAGTAGAAAAGTGACGTAAAAACTGCATCTTTGTATCTCTACTCATAAACCAGAAACCTTTATAAAACACACGTTAAATGGGACACAACCTCAATAAACACCATCTAAACGTACTTCAGAAACTTCAGCACTACAATGTAAATCACATAAAGTATTCACTCGCTAAAAACGTTTAAAATCCTAAGTGGATTAGTTATTTTAATAATGCATCATTATCTAAGACATCTTTATGTACCTCTGACATCTCAGTTAATTTATCTACACTGCTTAGCAATCATTACAAGAAAGTTCTTGTTATAAATTACGCTAAAATGCTTCTTTGAATATTAATTGTATACTAGCTAAGTTTAGAATATAAATAATGTTTATTTCTATCTATTAAAAATTATTGTTTTCATTTTTTTCCGAAACTTTTGAAAAGATAAGGGTTCATAAAATATAATTATTAATAAATAATTAGTGAGCTCGTAGATTGTAGATGGAGGGAAGTTTTGCACAATAAAAATTGTTAAAATGTGTAGTAGGAATATTTATTGTTTTTCCTATATCCATTTTGTCACTTAAATCGTGTTTAATTAAGGATGCCTCAGTTTAATAGTTATTTTTTATACAAGCGAGATAAAATTGTATTTTATCGTTGACCGAAATGATTAATTCATGAGCGATTTAATCGCGAGTGAATTAATTTCGGAAGACGATAATGCAATTTTATCGTCGTGTATAAAACAATTTCTTTTCCATAGCGAGTTACGTTTTAAAAAATATTCAGAAATTATTATTTCAAGGAATTTATTACGAGTAGAAAAAATATTGTTCTGGGTTGGCCTTGGTTTCTATGTAATTTGACAAATAAATAAAGCTGCCTCTTTAGTTGTCAGTTTTGAGTATATTTTTTGATATTTTTTAATTATGTTTCGTGTCGATTGCTGATTGAATTGGAGCCAGAAATGGCTCAAAACGAAATAAGTAAATTATCAACAGATATTCAGGCTGTGGCGACAAACGCCATATCCAAACTACTTACATTTAAATCCCAAATAACTTATGAAAAGGAATACAAATATTTTCAAAAATGGAAGCAATTAAAAAACGTGCGAGAAGAAATAAAGTTTTTAACCTATCCTCGCTGTTAAAGTATTATTTAATCCACCCTTGCGGTTAAAGTACTATTTTATCTACTATTTTTGATAGATATAAGGCAATTTTAACAGTTGCTATGGAAAAAAGCAATATCGCTATCAAAAAGTCTGCAATTCTTCAGATTTATGTGTTATGCTTAAAAAAAAATGAATAGGTACATTTTTCAATACTTCTTATATATGCACGATTAATTATTCTCGGTTCAAGCAGTTTTTTTTTCAGAATTTTTTGAAGCATACTTTATAATACTACTGTTGAGTATCTATAACAGAATTTTTGATCGTGTTATTTTTAAATAAAGAGTTTATACAGTATGTCCCCGGATTATCTTTACAAGAGAAAAAACTTTGTGTGTTTTGAAATGTTAAAGAAGCACAAAATTTAATTAGTTCAAGGTTACGGAATCATTTATATTCCTCTTCCTCTTCCTCTTCCTCTTCCTCTTCCTCTTCCTCTTCCTCTTCCTCTTCCTCTTCCTCTTCCTCTTCCTCTTCCTCTTCCTCTTCCTCTTCCTCTTCCTCTTCCTCTTCCTCTTCCTCTTCCTCTTCCTCTTCCTCTTCCTCTTCCTCTTCCTCTTCCTCTTCCTCTTCCTCTTCCTCTTCCTCTTCCTCTTCCTCTTCCTCTTCCTCTTCCTCTTCCTCTTCCTCTTCCTCTCTCTTCCTCTTCCTCTTCCTCTTCCTCTTCCTCTTCCTCTTCCTCTTCCTCTTCCTCTTCCTCTTCCTCTTCCTCTTCCTCTTCCTCTTCCTCTTCCTCTTCCTCTTCCTCTTCCTTCTTTAGGTTTGGATTTTTAAGACTTGAAAAAATTGAACCATATTTTCATGTTTTTCCACCATTTTAAAACAAGCAAATTTTTTTTTAAGAATGCATTTTTCTCAAAATGTCAATAATAAAAAAGTTTTTCCTCTTGTAAAGATCATCCGGGGACATACTGTATACGTCGGTGTCCGAAAATTACCAGAAATAAAGTTTTTATAAATTTTCTCCTAATTTTAAAATAGGTAAAATACACGAAATTTTGTGATTTTTCAGAAGACCTGCAATTTTTTATAAAGCTGAAGAAGTATGAAGGTTTTTAGGGCTCCGTTAAAGGGAAATTTCCTCGATTAGGATTTCTGGCAACGCTACGCTACGCTGTTGTACGTCTCATTGTGGAGCCACACACTTTGAAGTATTACTGATATGCTTACCTCCTAAACATGCACCAAACGACAAAGCCCAAATAAGCGGCTGTAAAGGCAGCCTAAGTTCGTGCTTATTAGCCAGGTCTGTAGCCACTTTTACCATCATGGTCGTTAATGGTAGATTGTCGACAAAAGCCGACACGACAGCAGATACCCACAACATCAGGATGATGGCTACGGTGAGTCGAGCCTCGGGATTCACCGCCATGATCACAGTTTGGGTTTGTCTTCCGATGTAGTCGATGAGGCCCAGTTCAGACAAGGCCTAAAATTTGCAATAGGAAATTGAAAAGTGTACAATTTAATTTAAATAAAAATATAAAAAAAGGATAATATTTTCTAAACCTAATAGTTTTATAATACACTGACAGGCCCGAGAAATAAAAAAACACCTTAAAATTATCATGTAATTTATGTTCAATATATAATAAGTAATAACAATTTTAGTGAGTGTATGTTAGTTGGGGACTGTCAGTTATTTAAGTCAAATATTAATTTCAGTTATTTGAGTCGACTGGGAAACTATAACTTAAAAAAATGTACAACGCACAAACGAGAAACTCGAGAATGTTTGTGCCTCGAGAAATAAAAAAGGTCGAGAAACCAGAAGTCCTAGTTTATATGCACTAGTATTCTTACCTCCATTAAAATGAACAGCGATGCAAAAAATAGAAGAGTACACCACTCAACTCGAGCAAATATTCCTTCGATATTCTCGTCTCCATAAAGTAGAAGTAAAAGTAAAGCTCCTAGAAATGATGTCCAACCCATACCAAGGGTATCTAAAATGTTGGAAAAAACCTGCCATTATATGAATACAACGAGTTATTAAAATCTTATAAATATATATAGGTGTTCTCATTTTTTTTGCCACTCAGTATAGTTTAGTAAAAGATTAGCATATAAAGACATACAGGCGATACTAATTAAACTTTCAGTTACGTAATAGAGGGCGCGAATTATTAAATTCATTGTTGCCAATCATTGAATATTCGGCGTCAGGCTGAGTAGCTGCGATTTGAATTTCCCGCTGGGGATTCAGGTGGTAGCTCTGCTGTAAAAAAATGTCAAGTTACCACATTTGTTTATTTTTTTTTTTGATACTGTCATTCGTTTTGACACTTTAGTTTTGTATTACGACTTTTTGGTTTAAATGCATTGTGTTTTGATACTTTAAGCTTAAAGCTTTTTACTAGCATACCTTGCAGTTGAACATTGTTCTTTTTAGAACCTCTTTTAGTGCGAAGTTTACAACTTAGCTTAATAGCCGTTGCAAAATACTCGTGGCAACCTTATTAGATTATTTAGAACAGGAAAGCGGTAGTACAAGCCCTTTATGCCTCTTAAGTGATATTAAGGAGGTGAATTTTGTTGATGTAAACAATAACCGTTTATATATTTTTATAATTAATTTATTTTTGTTTTCTAAAATATTTTTTTTTTCGTTGCAGCCACCCTTAAAGTTTATTTGGTTTGGCATTGGTATCATGCATTAAATCAATTAATTCTCAAATATTTTATAGTCTATTAGAAATGCTTCATAGAACACAACACAGCTGCTTTAATTATACAGTACTGTATAGACAATAAAACAGCAATAAATCATAAGTGGTACTAACAATAATATACCTCTAATCTAGCACTAAATAAGGGTTATTTCAAATTCATTTACGATATTGCCTCATAAATAACGTAGTATTTCTTGATATACAAGCATTATATTTAAGTAATATTAATGCTACATTTATTTAGAGGTATTTAGTTGATTTGGTCTTGTATTTGAGTTGCTACCCTGTGTTTTAGAAAAAATACAGTACTTTGGTTAGTAATCGTTCTGAGCCCCATAATAATAATATTAAAGACCCATAATATTAATATTAAAGACTGCCCACATCACATTTTTCAATGTTCCATAAGAATACTATGGAAAAAGTTTGTTCTGCGCCTTATGAATTTTATTGCTAGCCAGTCGTGTATCAAAAAAGATCCTTTTACTTATTTTTGTAGAGAATTCAACGTTCTACAATAAGGTTTCTTATGATTTTTCGAAAAACCTAATAGTTTAAGAGTTATTTGAGACCAAAATTCAATTCATCGCAAATTTTAAGGTTTTTGATGCATTACAGCAAAGTTGATGGTTTTATTGGAACAAATTTCCCAAAAAATCATGTTTATCTTAAATTTAATTTCTTAGAACATAATTGTTAATAATTTTTTGCAATAATGAGACCAGTGAAACTCTTTGAGATCATTTTTAGCACCAACTGGCTTCGAAATCATAGTTTATCTTGTTTTTGTTTATTCTAAAGACAAAAAATTTTCTTCCGTCATTTGAAATACTTACATTAAGAATACATTAACTGACGATTGGTTTTGTTTAAATAAAAAAAAAATATTTTTTTTAAACGGTTTGGATAACGTTGCCGATGTTCTGGAACTACTTGTAACAAATACTGTAGTTGCTTTTCATATTTTCTTCGATTAACGCAACTCCGCTTTCAGCTACGGCATTCGTTACTTTTAATGTTTTATAAAATTACAGATACTTACTAAACGACGGTATCGAATGAAGGAACAGCACTCCTATAACAATACAAAGGGTTACACCTGACTTGATTAGTAGAACTTTATTTCTAATCTCGGTCTAAAAGAAAAACAAAATTAATATAAGATGCATTTAATATTTTTTGATTTGCTAAATATGATAATTTTATTTGAAAAATTTAGAAAGTGATAAGACAAAAGACCCAGGTAACAGGTGTCATCCACAGAATGAAATTCCCTCAAGTGGCGATGGACTGGATATCTGGCAAAAAGGACGGACAACAGATGGACCACAGAAATTACAGCATGATACCCATGGAGGAATTTAGAGACCTAGAAGAAGACCGAACTTGAAATTGGGGCCATGATATTAGCAGGGAAGGCAATAGAATGTCTAAATATGTGAGAGAGGCTAAGCACCATAATTGAAATGGCTTGTATAAGCCGAAAATGATGATGATGATGTCTTGAAAAATCCGAGTTTTTGTCACTTCAAAAAATCTACAAAAATTGTTTTTTACAGTGGTCCTTTACTTGAAAAAAAAATGCATAACACAAAAGTATCGACGTTATTGGCAAATTATAAAAACATGCTTTAGTCGAAACATTAGAAAACATCCAAATTAGTTCATCATATCATGGGTTTGTAGGTGAACTAACAATTTCGTCAATACCTACTGAAACCTACACAAATAACAAAATAATAATTCTACAAGATTTGTTTAAGCAACTGAAATATATGTTACCATAGCACCAGGTAAGAGAACTGTTCAGACAGTAGGTAACACAGGTTAAGCCCCTTGTGGGAATTCATGTATATTCATTATTTTGCAGCGGGGTGATAACTTAGTACGGTGGGTACCATAAATTCGCAGCTTTTTTTGTATTCTGTTAGTTCTGTGGCCTAACAAAATCTACCTAATATAATGAATAATGATAATTCTACGAATCTTGGTTAGATCTAAACCAACCTGTAGATGTATCAGTTGCTGTCTAGCTATACATGTTTTCCTGCTATATACAGGGTGGTTCGAACTGTATACCGGAAACTTCGGCAGCATATTCTGCAGATAAAAATAAGTAAAAAAGTTCATATAAATGTATGATCTAAAATGCTTAGTTTCGGAGATACAGGGTGTAGAAGTTTCATTTTATTACTATGATTTTTCCTTAATAACTTCTGAAAGTAACGTCAATATTTGGATTAAAATTGGTGCCCGGAAGTTTTTTTAACATGAAAAATTTGGATTTTGATGTCAAAATATCTCCTATTTGTAGGTGGCGCCACCTACATGTGTTTTAACTCTTTTAAAGAGTAATAACTTTTTGTCGGTACCTGTATAAAACTACTGAGTGAAAAAATATACATTTCCGTGACTTTTTACGTAAAAAATATCTCTTGGTAAAAATTCATATGAGTAACCGTTCTCAACGTTCTCTAAATATTTGTACTTTTAAACCAAACGCTGACGTTCCTATTTTTAATGATAAAGGGGATATACACCCTGTAGAATTTTTAAATCAAATAGAAACCATGTATAAGTCACAAAATGTTTCTGTAGATCAGTTTTTAGTAGATAGTATAACTAATTTATTCTTTAGAGGAAACGCAAAATATGGATGAACGCTTTTCTTATCAACTTTCACTAATTTTTTCAAGATTTTAAAATCAATTTTAGTTTCAATATTGGAGTCAATCTCAACAACTTAAGATTAGACTGAAATTAGATTCGGATATTACCCTATAAATGGCAGCGCTACATTTTACAGAATATTTTAATTCCTATGTAGTTTTGGCTAAACATTTAGAACCTGCCTATCTGCCCCCGCAATTAATTCAAAATTATTGCGACATTTTCCGCTAATCAAGTATTTTGTACTTTAATCGGCGCAGTTACATTTCAAGATGCCCTTCAACGTCTTAGACAGGCCGAATATTATTTTAGTGCTAGTACAACGGATTCTTTTTCACATTCAACAAGACCGGGAAAAAATTATTTTTATAAACAAAATAATTCTAGACATGGATCACAATCACAACAGATGTCGGACAAAATCAGACAAAACTTATCTAGTTTGCAAACTGTGGATAATGTTGAATGTGAGGAAAATTCGAAAATTAGATTGCTCTCCACAGAAGAGCCCGGCTGTGGAAAACGTTTTTAAAGGGGCTTTTAGTTTTAATAATAACGTTAGAGATGAATTACTTAAAGATGAGTGTAGCTTTAAGCACGAAATTGTTAATTATAGATCGCCGATTATCGAAACGCAATTGTATGGTTATTCTTTTCCCGCTTTAATTGACACTGGAAGTGAAATCTCCGCAGTCTCTGAAGACGTTTGGAACTCTTTTTCTGATAAAATTAAAAGTGACATTCCATCTTTTTCGTGTTCTGGTATAAGAGTTATAGGGGCGTTTAAATAAAATCAAAGAAAAATACAATTACAAACTTTAATTTGTTTTTCGTGTGAAAATAATATTTTTTACCAGGAATTTTTTGTCATACCCGATCTTGTTTATTCAATTATTTTAGGAATTGATTTTTTACGAAAATACAAAGTACGTATCGATTTAAATATAAATATAAATAAAATATTTTGTTCGGTAGGCGATGAAGAAATTGCTTTATCAGAAAAAATTTATTCTCACGAATATAATGGTAGAGAATCGTTAAATTTGCGCAGTTTATCAAAATACGAGAGTTTTGTTACAGCAAATGCAGTTGTGCAGTCAACTGATATACAGAATGTCACAAAAAATACAAATTTAAGTTTTAATGAGAAACATATGTTTAAAGAATTGATTAGCGAATATGAATCGATTTTTTCAAATATACCGGGTCGTGTAAAAAATTATAATCATCAAATTAAACTTCATAATACCGATCCATTTTTTATTAAATCATATCCGATACCCGTAGTTTATCGAGAAGCCGTCAATAAAACTGTCACGGAAATGGAAAATCTGGGTATAATTGAACGTGCTGCAACTCCATACATACACCCGCCATAAATTGTGTGGAGGCTATAGTTATAGCACATATATTGATACTATTTATTAAATTTATAAATTATGTGAACCTCGTGTGTTCTTCGATCTCTCAGTTCACAGGGAGGCAGATGAAACAAAATATATTAGGTTATTGATTATTTGTTGTTAAATTGCTGAACTACATGGGAATATTTTAGTGTAAATGTAGTAAACCTTATTAACATCCAATGCGTTCAAACACCCGTCTTGTAGATGTCGCCGCTTATTTTATTAAATAAATCTGGTATGCGGATAAAAAAGATCTTCGATTTAAGTAAATTTATTTCTACATTTATTCTTAACTTTTGCAAATAACGGCGGCAGCCTGTGGTTTAAAATTTCACCATACATCTTATTAGTTATTATATTTTGTATGAATTAACTTGGTCCTAGGTAAGATTTATCCATAATATTTAAGATCAGCAAATCATTTATATAATTTTCTAGCCATTATAGCAAAGAGTTACAAAAGAGAGAGAGAGAGAAATACACGAGGAACTTAAACTATCGCCTTTTACTTCATCAAACCGACCCTCAAAATTTCCCCCTGTTACAATATTTAGAATGGAAATAGTCAATACATGTCAAAATTGACCAAAAATAAACACCTTGAATTTAACAGAAATAATAAATTTGTGAAATTTTTATTTTTTTATATTAATCATAAATTTTACTACAAAAAAATGATGATAAGACAGTTTCTGTTGAACTTTTGACACAAAAACATTTAAAATTTATGATTTCAGTTTAATAACTATTTAGTGAACATATGTTTAATTTATGTCAATGATGACAGGTATTGATAACTTCGATTCCAAACATCTCCAGAACCATTACTTGTAGCGATTTTTACCAAGAGACCTTTTTTACGTAGAAAATGTAGCAAATGTATATTTTTTTACTCAGTAGTTTTATACAGGTACCGACGAAAAGTTATTATTCTTCAAACAAGTTAGAAAATATGTAGGTGGCGCCCTCTATAAGTAGGAGTCATATTGACATCAAAATCAAATTTCTCATGTCAAAAAACTCCCAGACACTAATTTTCATCCAAATATTGATGTTACTTCATTAATTATTTGAAAAAAATCGAAATAAAAATGAAACTTCTACACCCGGTATCTCCGAAAGTAAGCATTTTAGGAACTACATTTATACGAACTTTTTTACTTATTTTTATCTGCAGAATATGCTACCGAAATTCCTGGAATACAGTTCGGACCACCCGGTATATTTTAAGACAAATAATTTTGATTTCAGTCGCTATAAATTGCAAATAATATCTAGAATATGGTTAAAGATACTTTGGTTGAATAATAAAAAAAAATAAATTAAGAACACTATATATTAGAAAGAAACTACAACAACGGAAAAATTTTTGCTCAAGTTTAAAACGTTTTTTTTTATTTTTAGCCCTATTTCCTTCATTTTTTAGCAAACTGTATATGAATATACCAATCTCCAAGTTGTTAGTCGTTATAAATATTGATGTTATGATAATTCTCTTTCTCAAAACTAAGTAAACCGTAAGCAAATTGTTCAATGAAAATATTTGTTTTAATGTAATTAGTATCTTACATGATTATCCATAACACCTAGTAATTGCTTGTCGTTTCTGGGACTGTTTCCATTTTTGGTCACTTTCAATTTACCTCGTAATTTTACTGTTTTCTTAATTAAATTTTCTTTTACAGCTTCCTCGTCTTTGCTGTAGCTGCTCACAGACGCGGCTGTTCTCTGCAACACTGCAATGCCTCTCTTTAAATCTAAAAAGGAATGATGTTTATATGTAGGTACGTATACAGGGTTGTTCACCACATACGACACGGAATATTGTAGCTAAACGATTAAAAGAAGATTAAGAAATAATTTTAGAGTGTCCCAAATAAGTAAAAAATATAATAGTTGTATTTTTTTAAATGAAACACCCTGTATATTTTTAGATTCTACGATTGAAATAAAGGTAAATTTGATTAAGGTTTATCACAGTTAAACCTTAACGTTTGTGAAATATTTTCAATTTTGTGAAATTGCAGTAAAAAATTTAAGGCTTATTCATTTCTCCAAAGGTATCAAAGTTTTTAATACTACATATTTACTGCAGATTATTTATTGATCAGATATTGTGCTGCAATAATAAAAATTATACTTCCTTATACAGAGTGTCCAAAAATCTATGTTAAATAATTACTAGCTTTAAACGGCAATAACTTGTTTAATTTAAATAGAACACTTTGTATATTTTACATGATTCATATTCACAATTTAATTGTCTATCAAATTGTATTATACCGTTTTTTACCTATCTCGGCAAGTTTTCATAGAAAATGCATTTTCTTATAGTTTAGACCTAATTTATCACTATACCCATGGAATATTGACATTTTAGATTATTTTTACAGATGTAACAAATTTTCAAATAGTACAGATACTAATATTATCGATATAGTTTAGTGTTAATGAGGACCAATTAATATGATCCTAGTATTCAAACTACAGTAATTGACTGTTTACGTTGATAATGGCTCCAAATACTAAAAAACTGAATTTTGTATGTGTATTAGACACTGTGGTAAAAAGTAACACCTTATAAATTTTATTGTATTTCTTGACGAATGCTTATTTATAACAACAGAGATGTGTCATATTCATAACTTATTATTATATTGGTTTCTGAGTCAAATCCACATTTATTTAGAATAATTTATTAATTAAAACAATATGTAGGTAATTAACTAGTTTTTGGGCGGAAATAATGGTGGTATATTTAATTGGTATACGCTTTTACAAAGATTTAAATAGTTTTCTTTTTGCTAACAAATGGGCTTGCAATATTATTATTTTTACCGCCTGTACATTTTGTGTGTGTTCAAAAAAACCTAAGATGTTAATATTCCAGTGATAAATGAGGTCTAAATATTATAAGAATATGCATTTTCTACGAAAATTTGAAGAGATAGGTAAAAAATGGTATAATACAGTTTGATAGACAATTAAATTGTGCATCTGATTAACGTAAAATATATAGGGTATTCCATTTAACTTAAACAAGTTATTGCCGTTTAAAGCTAGTAATTATTTAAAATAAATTTTTAGACACTCAGTATAAGTTAATTTTATTCTTTTTATTGCAACCCAACATCTGATCAATAATTAGTCTGCAGTAAATATTTAGTATTAAAAACTTTGATAACCTTGGAGAAATGAAGCCTTAAAATTTTTACTGTAATTTCATAAAATTGAAAATATTTCAAAAACGGTAAAGTTTAAGTATGATAAACCTTAATCAAATTTACCTTTATTTCAATCGTAGAATCTAAAAATAAAATAATATAGAGGGTGTTCCATTTAAAAAAATAAAACTATAATATTTTTTACTTATTTGGAACACTGTATTTTTTAAAATTATTTTTAAATTGTAGCTCTAATAGTCCTTCAACGAACCCAAAACTTACAATTTGTAAAAATTTAATCGTTTAGCTACAATAATCCTATGTGGTGAACAACCCTGTAGTCTTCGAACGAGAAATTGGTTACATACAGAAAAATGGTTAGTTTAACAGTAGTGGTGAATCAGTAACAACAAATCAGAGACCATTAAAATTGTCATTTTAATACTGACAATTTTATTTTAATACTGACAAATTTGGAATATTTTAAAAAACTTTTAATCCATACCTTGAACTTCAATGGGTTCTGAATTCTTGAACGATGAAAGGTCTCGATACAGGAATCTGAGTAAACCGTACGTTGCAGCTAAAGATAAGAATATCCCAACACCCATGTGCATAATAAAAGTACCAAAATTGACGCCCTAGAAATAATACTGTTTAATATATTTTCACTTTAAAAAAATCGTGTTTTAAATTTCAATCTAGAGTGCGATGGCTATCGGTTAGGGCTTTGTGCATGTGAAATTACTAATTACGACCTTCTTTTTTTTTTGGGGGGGGGGGTCAGAAATTTGTTAATCCCTGAAAATGTCAAAAATGTATAACCATGTTTTTTTACCTTACCTACGCAATAACTCCTAAACTAATCAACTTATTCACATACTCTGTTTTTTAATCGATTGGGAACACATAGGCGGTGATAGCTGAAGTAAGTAAAGTTCCATAGTGAGTGTATTTTTCTTGGAAAGTGGATTAAACCACAGATAACATATTTAAGTTAAATTTTCTGCGTAGATGGGGGTGAATAGTTCCTTTGTAAATTAAATAGTGAAATGATAATAATTATTCTTTTATTTTTTAGAAGTTGATAAATACATATAAATTGTAGCCCATTAGTAGTGAAAAATGAATTACTATTTATTAGTTTTTCGTCTCCAATGACAGTCAAGTTTACATCATCACCCGCTCTCGCCAGGGCCAAAACTTTAAATGTGAGGTTGTACGGGGCTCCACATAAAGTCCGCGCCGAGTCAGAAATGGGGCCCAAATTTTTCTTAAAATATGTCTTAATGCGCCACTGAGTGCATTCTGTCTGCATACATGTGCTGGATGAATATGACTTAGAATAGGAAGCCATTGGACGGGAGTTGAGTTTATTATATATTAGTATATATGATACGCAATTGTTTTATTTAATTGGGCGTCCTCCTTTCCTGTGTGAGACCTATATATCCACAACCGGGGCTCAGCAGTAGAATAAACCAAACCAAGCGCCGAGGAGCGTAAGGTACTCGTGGAAGCCGCGAAAACACGTGGTGCCGCATAATTTATGGATGATATTATTCCGCGTGTTGAGCTTAGCTGCAGTTTGGGTGCGGTGCTTCTTGAAGGAGATGGTCCTATCTAGCATTATGCCTAAATATTTTGGGGTGTTGTTGTGGAAAAGCCAGTTACCTTCAAACCTTATTTTAAGTTCTTGGTTTGATAATTTATTATTAAGATGGAAACAACTAACTTCCGTCTTTACCGCGTTCGGTTGTAGCCTCCACCTGCGGAAGTAGTTTCCCAGGGAACACAGATCCTCCGAAAGAACTGCCTCCGTCTCCTCGAGGTGTCTATATCGTATCTTATATTATATCGATAGACTTGTAGCTATCGCCCAATCGTCCGCATATCCGAATTTTCTAGCTGAAGTAGCCGGCATATTAGCGATATATAAATTAAATAGCAATGGAGCTAACACGAAACTTTGTGACAATCCGTTATTAAGTTTTATCTTTTTTCTTTTTCTCTCCCCCAGTCTCACCTGAAGGAGTCTGTTTCGGATCATACCATCGCTTAGTTTGACGGTTTTTCGGCAGGGGATCTCTTTTACTAGCCAGCTCTTTATCAGTCAGGAAAGGACCACAGCATTTACTACTACTCTTTTGTACCATTCTATTTAATGTTATCAGGTCCATAATTATGATATGTCCCTTTGTTGATTTGGAATTCTGATATGTCCAGTATCGGTATGTCTCTTGTAAACTATGATACAAAGAAAAGAAGGTATGATATTGCGCAGGTTGGTCGCTACGTCACAGGTGATATCGCCACCATTGGTCGGCATGCTCGGCGCCCCAATTTCAAATCGTCAATCAGATGACACATAATAAATCTGAAAATTACTTTTCAAATGTCATTTTGAGTGGCATATAATTTGACATAACTTTTGAGGTTATGGCCCAATTCTTCCCCAATGATTAAAGAATACAAGGACATGTAACGCCCATATTCATACAACTATATAAGCAACTATTCATACAACATATGAGCTGCAGCAGAGAGGTTAGTTTTAACTAGGAGTTACGTATTCATAGGAGTTATGCAGGAGGTTTATATAGGAGTTACGTTTTCATAGGGAAATCTCCATCCACTCCACCTTTTTAGCGTTTTTTATTGAATTCGATAATTAATTTTCTGATATTATATGTATTTGATATGTGCTATACGTCGATACTAGTTTTATACCTTTTGCTAACATTGTAATACTTTTTTCGTAATTAATTAGTCAGTCAACAACATATATTTTCCCCATAAAGAACAACACAAATACACCTTCTATGACAATAGAAACAATAAATCAATAATCGATTATATCATCACCAATCGAAGTTTCTTACCTCAACAAATAATAGACATAGGAGTCTTATCCTCAGCTAACATTGGAACAGATCACAAACTTGTGCTAGGAAAGATACGAATAGGTGCGTCACTATCCAAAAAAAGACCATCGATAAAAACTGAAAAATTCAATATAGAATCCCTCAACCACGAAAACACTAAACAACTTTATTTAAACAGATGCCAAGATCCTGGAAGAAGAAGTAAGGAAACAAGCCAATAAAGCTGCCGCAATATCAAGACATCTTAAATATCACATATGGAAAAACAAACATATGAGTACAGAATGTAAGTCAAGAATATACAAAACAAACATATGAGTACAGAATGTAAGTCAAGAATATACAAAACCTGCATACGACCAGTGGTGACATATGGTGCGGAAACCAGAGCTGAAACATCAGTAACAAAGAGAATCCTACGAACTACTGAAATGAAGACCTTAAGAATGATAACTGGATACACACTGAGGGACAGACAGAGAAATGTAGACATAAGAGAAAAGTGCCAAACAAACGACGTTGTCAGATGGATAAGGCAGAGAAGAAGAGAAAGGAACCAGCATGGCAGAAGACCTACGTACCCCATGGCAGAAGACCTACTTTACGACCACCTAAACGGTGTCCCCAAATGTAAAATTTTAAAAAATACCTTTTAGCTCAGAAACTATAGGGCTCTGAAAATTTTGTTTACAGTATATTCCGTTTTACAAAAAAGTAGGACAAGTTAAAAAAAACACATCTTCTTATCTTCACTAATGATGGAACGACAATATGATTTCAACAAAAATTGGACATCTTTATACGTTCGTTATAAGACACCGCCAAGAACAAAAGAAAAATGAAAAACGCTCTTTATCGCGTTTTATCAATTAGAGGATATATGTCAAAAGAACAAAAATAGTCTAAAGAATAATATTCCTTAAGACGCGCACTCCGCCAAAAACTCAAATTCGTCAAAATTGGAAAATAATTAAAAAAAATATAGGCTCATCAGACTGGCTTTATTTGTTTTTGTCCAAAATTGATTGTCAAAGATTGTAGATATATTTTGCTATTTTATTGCATTATATTTACCTCTAGGATATTCCCAGTCTACATCCAATCCATTAAATTTATACTCTCTAAGAAAATCTATAGCATCGTAGACAAACTGATTCATTCTGAATACGTTTCCAGTTAATTCCTTAAACGGTGTAGAACCAAACGCCCAGCCTCCGATAGCTAGAAGAACCTAAAAATATCATAAATTATATTTCAGAAAATTATTGACTAAAATTGATTTACTTTCAAGTCCGGATTCTTTTCTCTTAATGCTATAACTCTATCATACATTTCTGGATCTTTGTCGCTGGCTTCTGTAAGCTTGTGTTCCTCCAAAGTAGCAAAAGCATAGATAATGTGAGTACACAAAGCTGGATTAATATCTTCTGGTAAGAATTTTCCTGCTCCTGGACGCTTTTGAGACCAACTGGTTATGTAGCAAAAGACTTGGGGTTTGCGAACTATACAGAAATATTTTATGACTGTATAAAATAACTTATTTGATAAAAAGTACCTTTTTTGTTGATGACCTTATTCGATTTTTTAGTTGACGGTTTTCTAGCTCGTTTAAGTACTTCTGAAGCAGATATTTTAATAGGTTTTGGTTTCTCCTCTTCTTCTTCCTCTTCCTCATCTTCACTAGGTCCGGCAATGGCAGCCCAATCTACATCTTTGGCATCTTTACCTCTAGTTATACCACGTAATTCTTCTCTAAATAAATAAAAGAGATCAAAGGTACTAAATATGCCTGAATCAAGAACGCAATTTTACCTCATAGCACCTATTAGTGGATATTTTACATCTCCTCCACATACCGTACCAGTAAAATCGTCCATGTCAATTGTCCATACCATAGCACCACCATATCCGTTTTCTTTAATCCATTTCATTTTGTGTCTGATTGATTTCTCGTCATCGAAACCGACCCACTGATCACCATCGACCAGGTATGGAACTTTCATCTCTTCGTTCCAATAATAAGTGGCACCGTTTCTCAACATTTCACAAATCTAGTAAAGTAAAAAAAAAATAGATGAATCGCCGCCGTTACATTAACATTATATTTTAAAATTGAATAGGCTTGAGCTAAAATTGTTTTGGCTTGAGCTAGAATAAGCTTTTAAGCTTCAAGCAATATTGTTACTTTGTTTATTAAAATATTTATGGTTCTGCACTATAAAAGTAGTTTTTTTTTCAAAAGATTTTACTTTCGTATATATGCATCTCTTTGTGCACAAAGAAACCTGGGAAAAAACCTGCAGGTTTTGGATTCGTATCATCGCACATGGTTTGGATATGCCTATATTATTTGTTTCAGCTTTGTTGGGATTTGGATTTGTTGACAGATGTACAAAGTTTGTTTATTAGTATGGTTTAATAAGATATTAAGTCCATTATAAAAAATGTCTATACCTATGTGGCGGATTCATCTCTCCAAAAAATCCTATTTGGGTATTTCGCCCCTAAACTGCAAGAAAATCTACAAAATAAAATAGTTATTTTTTGCAAACACTTCTGCGTTAAACCCAAACGGAAACTACTTGTTAGAAGTTATGTTTACAGTTATACAAATTTGCTTAACAAAGAAAAAAATGCTTAACGTTTCGGAAAGTTTATCTCTTTCCGTCGTCGGAAGCAAAAAAAATACAAAGAATAAAGGAAAAAACTTTTTAAAATATTTAAATTCAACTATTTGAGAACACTTTAGTTTTTTT